TCATCTGAGTGACCAGCCACCTTCCCCAGCTGGCCAAGTCATCCCCTCACACTTTCATACTTGCTGTTTGCATTGGTTACTTAAAGGCAGGGTCTAATAAATACTTTCTGCATGGTGGACTGATTGATTGGTACACAGGGCAGAGGGAAACAGCCCAACCCAGGTGTCTAGTCTCCAGAAGGCATGGGGAGAAGGCTCATGGTCTTAGGGGCAAGGGGAGGAATGAAAGAGTAGATGTTGACTGAACTCTCCAATGTTGAATGAACTCTCCAAGCACTAACTGAGTACATATACATTCTTTATCTCATTTATTCATCACAGAAGCCTGTGGTGTATCTTACTGTATCCATTTTACAGATGAGGAACAGAGGTTCAGAGAGGTTAAGTAACATATGCAGAAGTCACCTGGTGAGTGAGTGGTGGAGCTGATATTAAATGCAGCTCTCCTCACCCTGAATCCCTTTCTTAGGGATGTTGAGTTGGGAGGAGGAAGGACCCAAGAGGGAAGGCACATATACCTTCTTTTTCTTTTTCTTTTTCTTTTCTTTTTTTTGCATTTGTCACCAAGAATTTTGATTTATTTTATTTTTAACATTATATATATGTGACCAGAAGGGAAGGGGGAGGGGGAAATATATATATAATAATATATAAATAAATATATAAATAAATATATATATATTTCCAATAAAAGAGAATTCCAGAGAGGTTCTTCCTAGTAATATTCCTGAAAGTAGTATCCTATAATCTAGATTTCTTTTGACCATTGGAATTTCCCAATAAATCTGCCTTAAGGAAAAAGAGGAAAGTTGGAATTCGCATATGTCTGGCTGCTGTGACCCTTCAAGTATTAACTAATGTTTCAGCTGGTATATATTTCCCCCTCCCCCTTCCCTTCTGGTCACATATGCCTTCTGTGTTAGAAAAGGGGCTTCTGAGTGGAGAGATGGATAGGGCATGGAGGCCCTCCTGGAGAGTGCTCTGCTCCTAGCCCATGCCCAGCATTTGCCCTTCGGGGACAGACTTGTCAGCTGGGGTCCTTGGCTTAGGATTAAATGGTAGGAAATGAGCTTTAGGGAAATTCCAGTCTTTATTCTTCAATGAGGTGAAGGCTGGCATGATGCCCTGCCTAAGAGCACCCTTATAGCATGTCTCCCACCCCCATGTGCTTACAGATCACAGAGATACTCCCCTCATCTAAACAGCAGGACAGATGCCCAGCCCTAGCCACGGGCAGAAACCCTGTGAGTGAGGTGTGGCACTGCTTCTCCGACATCTGGGCACAGATTCTCCCTGACAAACCCCAATCCAGCTTCCGCCTCTCCTGACGACACACTTACAGCTGTTGCTCAAACATCCTAGTTTCCTTGTCTGCCTCTCTCACTGCCTCCCCAAGCTCTTGGATGGAGACATGTGGCACTGTGTGTCCTGAGCATGGACATGTGTGCCTTGAGTCTCTGCAGCCCTCCCTGTGCTCCTGATGTTCTTGGGTCTCCATTCTTTTCTCCAGGGATCGTGTAGGAGCAAATGCCTGGAGAGATGTCAGCACCAGCTATTGCCAGCCTGAGACCACCTCTTCACCACTCCCTGGCCAGGCGCTGCACATGAGGCCTTATGGGGAAGACATACCCACGTCATCTTTGTGATAATACTTTTTTTTTTTTTTTTATCTCCCTTCCTACCAACTTCCCGCATAACCCTATTCTACCCTCCAAAAAATATCTCTGCCCTGAAACACAGCAGCTCTTCAGCTGGAAAGACTTTTCCTGGCAGGAAGACTTTGGAAGCCTGGGGGCCGAGAAGGGGATTGGGTAGCCTGGGCCTGGCCCTCCTTCCCTGGTCCTACTGAGCCAGCCTGGCAAGGAGACAGTGTCTTGAAGCTCTCGTGCTTTGCTGTGGGCAGGGCCCTTCCTATGTTCTAGCTCAGCTCCAGGCAGCAAGAAACCCACATAAAAGTGATCTGGGGAGTTCAGCCTTCCCCCGGTTTGGGCCTGGCAGCCCCCCACGCAGTCTATAGGGTGGCAAGGAGAGAATGGCATGGCTTCTGCCTGGCTCTGCAAGGCCCAGGCAAGGAGAACCAGGCCCTGGCTCCCGGATCTTCTCTGCCCCCAGGCCTCCAAAATTCTCTCACCAGGAAACATCTTTCCAGATGAGGAGAAGCTGCACTTGGGGGCAGAGGTACCTTTTGGGAGTTTAATGGGTCATGTGGAAAGTTGGTGGGGAGGAAGATAAAGAAAAACATCAACCAACAAAGATGACGTGGGGTGTGGCTTCCTCAGAAGGCCTCATGGGCAGTGCCTAGGCAGGGAGTTATGAAGAGCTGGCCCCAGGCATTGACAACTGGTGCTGACCTCTGTCCAGCCACTTGCCCAGCTCCTGGCAATCTTGTTCATGTTACATAATCTCTCTAACCTCACCTTCCTCACCTTTAAACCAGGGATAATAGTAGTATCTGCCTCTTAGAACTGTTGAGTGCACTGATTGACATGATACATGGAAAGTACATAGCAGGTAGAAAGGGGCCTGGCTCAGACTAAATGCTCAACAGATACCACTTACTCACTCATTCATTTATTCACTCCTTCATTTAATGTGTACTTTTTCCTAAGCACTATTCTAAGGGTGTATGAAAACAGGCCAAGTATTCTGTCCTTCTGGGGCTTGCATTCTACCTAGGGCTGATAATAAGGGAGGGAGCAAGTAACAAACAGCGTAAATAATTAAATGAAATAGTATGTTAGAAGCTTAAAGTGTTATGGAAAAGAGAAAAAGTACAGCAGAGTGAGATTATTACCTTTTTTTTCCAGAATTTGGGTAACTTCACTCTTATTCATGTCTCCCTTCTAAGGAAAAGGATTAACCTCTTTGCCTCAGGCCGCACTGGTGACAGAGCTGCCAACTCCTCCCAAAGCTGTGTCCGACAGGAACAACGGTGACTAGGTTTTAGCACAGATTCACTCATTTGTTCCTTCAACCAACAGATATTTATGGAACACCTGATTATGGAACGCTCAACGTGAATCAGAAGTTCTTGTCCTGAAGGGTTTTGGAGGTGAGGAAAGAGCTGCGTGTGAATGATCTAAGTGAGAAAGTGATCAGGCCTCCGAGAAGGCCAGGCAGGTGCTGGTACAGAGAAGCAGGCAGTGTGTGCCCTGCATGTTGACCCACAGGGCCGGCCCCGCCCTGGACTCGGGGCTATTCCACCACAGCTTGCTCTGGCTATTTTCTTCTGGTAAGTTAGTAGACTGTCCCTAACTTAGTGTCACAGGGAAGGAAAATATGCATTGTTATTTCCTAGGGGACAGAGATATTTTCTGGGTTGGCCTTTGAGCAAAATCAAGACCTGAGATTCCCATCCCACCCTACCCATCCAGCAACGGAGACAAATGCTGTGACCATCTGTCCAGTCGTGTGCCCAGCCTATGACATGTCCACCCCTACAGCATGGCCTCTGCTGCCCTTATTTAAAGGCCAATCTGACCCTGGCAGAGCAGTGAGGGGGAGAGAGGCCCATATTGTCTACAGATATGGCATCTTGCTGCAGACTCCAGGGCTGTGGGAAAAGAAGATGGCCCTGACAGCTCTTTGGGGCTGCGATTTCTTGAATGCGAAGGAGGAGAGACCCAGGTCTGAGGGAGGAGACTTGGCCATATGGCTAGGAAACCAAGGCCGTGTGTGTTTCTGACCACAGAAGCAGACGTTTCGCCTTGGGGTTTGGAGCTGGGAACAGGCCGTTCTCCCCACAGTCACCACTCACATGGACCAAGGCGATCCCTCCTGTGCTCGGCCCCCTCAGCTGCTGAGTCATGCTCCCTGGGGTTCGCAAAGGCGCCGCTCCAAAGCCAGGCTGAGTCATTAGATGATGAATTGTGGAATTCTTATTCAGGCTGTCACCACAGCAGCAGTGGGCTCTGATCCCCCACCCCCTGTTCCCCCACCAAGCCTCTCAAAATATTCTCTCCTCGCTTGTCATTTATTTTTCATCTTGGGGTGGGGGAGCCCTGACGGTAAGCACGAGACAGCAGTGGCATGCATGAGGCTATCTCTGAGCTTCCCTTCCTGTGTCTGGATTCTGGGCCTATTATAGGGATCGGAGCCTGGTCTGTTAGCTCAGGAAAGAATTTCAGATCTCATTTTGTTTAAATCTCTCATCCACAAATGAGGAAACAGAGACACAGGCTGAGGACTTAGAGCTGACTGGAAGGGCAGCTTTGGAGTCAGAATCTAAATCTACTTACCATGCTCAAGCTTCATCAGGCCATGGTGTTCTTCTCTGTCAAATAATGTTAATGTTTCTACTTTGTAGGGGTTAAGGCTGCTGGAAGTCAGGGGTGAGAAGCACAGGGAGGTGGGGACTCAATAGCTGCTATCTGATCTGTATTTGATGGAGAGCCAGAGGCTGTGCAAATTAGAAATAAGGACCTGAGATCTTTCCTCTTCCTGCTCAAGACACTCAGGAGGGGCAGGAGGTCCTGGAGGTGCTTTGGAGATAGATCAGAGGGGCTAGGCTGGGCCAATAGGCAGAAATTCCTATAGCGCAGATATCTTCCAGTCTTGCAGGGACTACTGTGAGCTCACAGATGCAGCATGCTAGAAGGTGTCCATAGATGTTCACTTGGTTCCCCCAAACCAGAAAACAAACAAAGACCAGTGGTAGGCACAGCACCGTGACCTGGGCTCCTCATCCACACAGTCATAGCCCACCTGAGTGTGCATGCGTGCAGTCCTGCCATGCCAGATCACCTGCTGGCTCCTACCAAGGGTTAGCCTGGAAGGTATGCATCACTGCCCAGAGGACCCCTCTGTCTTATAAGCAGGAGTGGCCCAGGACAAAGATGGGACCACAGATGGTGACTATACTAGTCACTCTGCTCCTGCAGGGTCCCCAAGGCCTCCATGTGGGCATCTTTGGAGCTACAGCAGGGGTGAGCATAATATCTTGTTCCCTCTGGGCCTGGGTGTTGACAGTCCCCCACACCCATGAATAACCTGAGAAAAAGTTCAAATTTTTAAAAGGAATTTATTAAGAAACAGAAGAAAGATATAAAGTACACAATCAAAGAAATGAAAGCGTTTACAGCACAGATTTTTCAGCCCATTGCAACGAAGAGAAATCTGCTGGGCTGACACCATGGGACCGAGGCCCCAATTCTGTTTCAACCCTGTCTCTCTTGGCTGCTAAGCCAGCCAGTTCAAACTTTCTCTGGAGATAAATCAGGCCACCTTCTAAAACTTCTCAAAACCTACTTCCTGATTGCCTCTTGTATACAGGCCCTTCTCTATTTGGTTCCAAAGATTCCTCACCTGGGGCTTCAGGTGAGGTCCAGCCTTACCCTGATGCACCTTCACTACTTCTCCAACCAAAGGCATCTGTGGTCCCTTGAAGATCTATTTTTGCTTTTATCCTGATCCATTTAATTACACTAGATTCATGAACTAGCTGGGTAGGCTGGTTCTGTTTCCTCTGGTCAAGTTACCAATCCTCCTAAGCCTGCATCGGAACTTGGTCACTCTCTTGCTAGGAACATCTTTCTGAGTGCTCTCTCTGGCAGCTTTCTGCCCCAGCTAGGCCAAGACCACATTCTCCCCAAAACAGAACTCTGTGCCCCTGTCCAAACTCCTGCTTACCTTATGGGATAGCTCTAGTTTCCAGACGACCTGCCAAAGAGAGATGGTCGAACACCTTGATGGTCACTCACCTCTGAACCCTACCCAGCTCAGGTCACCAACCTCACCAGTTTTCTTGGAAGATTTCCAACTTCTCCCTTGGGCTTCTTGCCCCTGTGGAATTTTACCTCTGTAGATTTGTTATATGACATGGCTTTATAGACACAGTAATAATAAGACTAGTAAAAGGAGAGCTATTCACTCCCAAATTATATTTTCCCTAAATTATCAAGAGATTTGATCACTCTCACCATTTTGAACTTCTTCTAAAAGTCTATGGTTATCAATTCTTCATTAGTACCTTCTGATTCTCAGCTGGCTTTTAAGAATAGCGCTGAGTCTTAGCGATCTGGCCATTGGTCCCTTCAGTTCCTACAGTCTCAGTTGTGTCTTAGCATATGGCTTCTTCAGATAACTTCTGGAATGCAAAATAAAACAGCCTTCTCCAAAGGAGAAGACGGTAACAGCTCTACCCAGACATTCTTGAGCTTTTACCTCACAATACGTGCATATAACATCCCATTCAAGCTTACACTGATGGAAGAATATTAGGTTAGTATGAGTCAGTTGAACTTTTCCCCCAACCAATACCTCAGATTTGAGCTTATGATATACAGAATACAAAATACTTCTCTATGCTTCTCACCCAGTCCTCACAGCAACCCTGTGAAGTGGGCATGGCGGATATCGTTATCCCCATTTTACTGATGTAGAAACTGAAGTTCAAAGAGATTAGAGAGCTAGACCAAGATCACACAGCTATTTAATGGAAGAGCCAGCACTCGACCCAGGTCTCTTCTTCCTCAATCACTTTTTAGGTGCTAAGAATATGAAAGAGGTTTTCTACTCCCTTTTTCCCTACCCAGATGAACAGCACTCTCCTTCCACCCGTACAGCAGGGGTGAGCATAATATCTTGTTCCCTCTGGGCCTGGGTGTTGACAGTCCCCCACACCCATGAACAACCTGAGAAAAAGTTCAACGTGCACAACCTAGAAAGTTCCAAACAGGAAAAAGAACGATTAATCAAGTGAATTGTCATAGTCCAGTGGGAGGTGGGGGATGGTAGTTGTATCTTTCACAGTGTTCCTGATTTCTTAAGATCTGTAGTTAATCAAGAACCCTTTCTCTCAGTGCTGAGTGGCGCTTTCTGCGGGATTCATTAGGCTTCTCGGGTCACAGTTACAGTGCTGGGGATTTTACCTCTAAATTAGCTCAAGACTATACTTCCCATTTGTTTCATATGTTGCCAGTGTTCTGTGCCTTTCCATCCCTACCCCTTAATGAGGAAAATTTTGTATTTCTGTCAGTCTTCCAATGCCTGGCTTCCCAGGATGCTCACAGCTTCCTAGGAAGCCACATGGCTCCTGTATGTCTGGAAGGTCTGTGGGATTCTCTCCTTGCATCCAGGCAACATTTCCTTTCTGAAGGTCTATTTTCCTGCTTTCCCTCCGGGGTGAGCCACATGGCTGGAGCCATATCACCAGTCGGGACCGCAGCATATGGTTTCTGTGCAGCTTTACAGGGCTATTGTTCCAAGCCAAAGGTATATGATCCCCAAGATCCTCCTCCGCACACATAAGCAGGACACCTCAATCTCATCTCTTTTGTGACTGGATGCTGCACCACCCCCTGAGAAGCATATGGTGGACTGTGTCCACAGTGCCCCCTACTGGAGATTTTTCCATAAGCCAAGGTTTTGGACAACTTGGTTGGCATTTAAGGTGGCAAATTTCTGGAGGATTAGCACCATCCCATTCCTTTTCTAGGCATTAATTCATTTCACACACGTTTACTGAGCACCAACTATGAGCCATCACTGTGTTAACTCTGTAGATAGAACTGCAAAGAAGACAGACCTCACCAATGCAACTCATCCTATACTAGTTGGTTCCTTAGAACCACCACTTGGTTTCCAGTTGGTCTGAGTTAGTTGGTGAACTCAACAAGACCTTCCCCTCCACTGTGATCCCATCACCCAAGGAGACTACCTGACCTCCTCTGCAGACCTTCCCAGGGTGAGTTCCTTCATCAGTCACTAGACAGGCCCCTGCTCTGACAGCCAGCCCTTCCTCCCTGTCATGCCCCAGCTAACTGGTACTCTCCCCCGGACTCCTGCCCCTCCTATAACAGGACAGTCTCATTTGTGCTGAGTGACACATTCACTTGCAAATCCAGTAGCTATTCTCGAATATCGTTTATAGAACTGTGTTTCTTAAAAGTAAGTATTCACGCATAAATGTTACTTAATGGATAATAATAACTGAAGTAGAAATGTGCATATATGAATAACAGCACAAAATAACTCAAAAAGAATCCAATCTCCCAAATCACTAATTACTTACATATTTTGAAACCTGTTTCTACTCAGTAATGATTCGGACATACTTTCACTTGTTGCTATCATTATGTGATCATAATTCCAAATTCTCTCTCTCTCTTTTTTTTTTTTTTGCTTATGATTGCATCATATAACATCATATTTTTAAAAATAGTTTTCATAGTTGCCATACGTGAAGGCAGTAGCTCATTGTCCTAATAGACCACAATCTGCTTAGCTGTCCCCACAGCTGAGCAGTTTACAGTCAATGACTATAATTTATAGGGTGGCCACAGATATCTCTGTGCAAATACTGTTTTTCTTTTGAGTTATTTTCTCAGAATGTATTCCCCAAAGTGAGATAACTGAGTATCATAGTCTTTTTTTTTTTTTTTAAACCCTTGACAAGTATTGCCAAATTGCCTTCCAGGAAGCATCATTTTATAGTACCAGGAGTCTATTTCAACCATGACATTTTTTAAATGTATTTTTGCTGCATGCAAGTGGTTGACTTTTTGTTTAATCTTTTTGTTTACTAGTCCTGGCCTGTGTGCATTTCCTCCTGAGTATACAGCCTATTTGGTCCTTTAACCAAGTAAGATCTCTTGGCTCAGCTCTTACTCAGATCAATTCTACGTATGTATTTTTCTCATCTGATTGGTTTTCTTTTAATCTTCATTATTCTTTGCTGCATATACATTTCAAATTTTTATATGATTGAATTGGACTACTTGACATTGATAATTTCCTCTATCACTTCAATTATCAAGCAGTAACCTCCCCAGAAAAAGATTTTCTTTTTTCCCACCCTGTGCTTTCCGTCTGGACTTGTCCAAAATCCTTCTGGTTCCCATGAACATTCCATTGTCCATGATTCCTACATTAAGATTCTCTTAGGTCATTTCCCGACAGCCCCTGGCTAAATATGTCTACTTCAGCTCCACCCCTGCCATGGCCTGTGCAAAGGACCAGTGGTTGTGGCTCACCTCCGACTAGACCCTTCCCTCAGGTTTTCACTCCTCCACCGTCCCAGCCCCACTGACAACTTCTCAGTCTTTCTGGCTGGTTTGTCTCCCCAATCCCACACCTGACCTCCAGGGTTGGGTTTTTCCTAGCAGTAGTGGCCTACTGAAGGACAAATTCCTTCACCCCTTAGTTCCGCCAAATGAAGGCCAAAATTTCTCAAAAGGAATTTTGCTGGAAAACTAAGGGGAAACTAAAAATAGTCTCCAGAAAATGTAACGATATCAACACAGAAGAAATTTTACATCCTTTATAGTTCTTGGCTTGGTGGTAGCAGGGGGACCTGAGGGTCCCCCTTCTCATACTCAGAACCCTGTGTATTAGATTGCAACCCTATCAGATTCAATGTCCTAGCAGCACATTTTCTTTACAGACTTTGAGGTAATCACCGCTTTGCCTCAACTGGCATCAGTATACTTGGTCCCCCATGAAGCCCACCCCTTTCTGCACTGAGGGACGCCATTATAGGAGAAGCCTCTACTTACTGGCTATAGATGGTGGCAGATGCCATTACCTGCCATTCGAAATCCCAGGCCTCTTTTGACCTGTCTTGTTTCTGTTCCAGTCTGAGGGGAGCCAGTTCTCAGCTCTTCCGGAAGGCATGCGCCTGACAAACTCTTCTGCCCACCTCCCTAAGACTCTCGCTGGGCTCCTCCACCAGGAATGGTTTTGAAGAATACAAATCAAGACAAGCTTACAAATCTTAGAAACTTAAACTATAACAACAGTGGCAGAGGGGGTGGTGGTGATGGGGTAGGGCAGTCACCCACAAAAAGCAAGAGGCACATTTGACTCCCATCACCCTGTCAACCCTCCTCCTCTGTTTCTGAGAGCTATGGTCATGCTACCACGCTTGGTCCCTATCCCTGCACATCCAAAGAGGGGTTGGCAGTGTGGCACTTCGCATTGGAAGGTTGCTAATATCTGTCCTCTGGGAAAATGCTCTCAGCCATTATAACCCATGGCAGCCCTGCCTCCCTCCTCCCTCCCACTCCCTCCCTAGTCCCACCTAGTTCCATCCCAGTCCCAGCCCTTTAACTGTCGGGAGAGCGAACCCGAAAGATGTGGATGGTCCCGTTACTGAGTGACACAACCAGGTACCTGCCGTCTACCATGGTGGTCACCCGGGGCTTTTCCAGGCCATGATAGGCTGTCAGGAAGTCTCCAAGCAGTGACCCCTTTGGGTCTAGGATCACCACCTTGTTGACCTCTCGAAGGGTCAGAAAGATGTAGCCCTTCTTATCCACAGATACAGAGCCTGGCTGGCAGCCATGCAGGCCTGGTCCCCCATACTCTCCAATCACTTGACCCAGCCCATCACAGACCACCACACTATTCTGTTGCCAATCTGACCCCACAAAATTGCCCTGGGGGCTAGTGGTCAGAAACACCAGTGCTCGCAGGCCCCGGCTGGCCTTGCCCCCAGGGATAAACCGGGTAGCCAGGCTGCCTTCCATATTGTACACCTCTACGTGGCCTGACACGCTGACAGCCACCCGGTCACCACTTGGCATTGCAGCCACAGCGTGGCTGGCTTGGGAGAGGCTCAGAGCCCGGCGCCACTGCACCTCACCATCAGGGCTGATGAGATAGAGCCGAGCGCCAGCTGAGAAGGCCACTGCACCCTGCAGGGCGGCCACGCTACATGGGGAGCAGCCCTCGGGGACAGGCACGGCTCCCTTGTAGTCACCATTGAGAGAGAAACGTTTCAGAGCCCTGTTCTGCTCGTCTGCTACCAGGATTTCCCGGGGGCCAAAGGGACAGAGCCCAGTGATCCGGGGAGACCGCTTGTCTCCAGGCATCCGCGTGGGGAAACTGCAGGAAAATATGGGCCTGGGGAGGAGGCCAGAGCCCTCCAGGTTTGGCCCAGGTGCTGGGCTGGGCTCCCGGGAAATTGACTTGAGCCTGCCTTTGAACTTCCTCTTCTTGTTGGATCTGCCACCCCTTGGGGTCTGGACTCCTCCATCTTCTTGGGGAGTCTGGGATCTGTCTTCTTTTGGGGTTTGGGCTCTCTCCACCTTTGGAGTCTGGGCTCCATCTTCCTGGGGTAGCTGGGCTCTGTCCTCCTTTGGGGTCTGGGCTCCATCCCTACTCTGGGGCTGGACTCCACCTTGTCTCTCTGTCTTGGCTCCATCCTCCCTCTGGCCCAGGTTTTCTTCACCTCCCTGGTTTCCAGCTCCATCTTTCTCACTGTCCTTCTGGGGCTGCTGCTTCTCAAAGGAGAGCCATAGCAGGTGACAGTTCTTGTCCAGGAGCCCAGGATGGAGCTCCAGCTGGGGCAGCAGACAGGGGGGTAGTCCAGGCATCCAAGGACAACCCTGCAGCTGCCGGAGTCTCTGGGCAATCGCCCCCTCCAGCGAGAGTATCTCGGCCTCACGACCCAGGCTGAGCACCCTACGAGCAAAGGCAGCCGCTGCCCTGGCCACTTGCTCCCGGCCCTCTAGCTCCCCCAGCCTATCCCGAGCAGCCTCCTCGGCAGCCTCCACGTGAGCCCGGAGCTGCCCCAGCACTTCCTTCTTCTGGGCCAGGAGGGCCCGGAGGACTCCCTCAGCGGCCTCCTCCACCTGCGTCCCTACCTTGGCTGCATGCTCCCGCAGCCGGGCCAAGGCTTCCTTTTCCACCATTCGGGCAGCCTCTAGCTCAGCCAGGTTCTTATCTACGCCTGCTAGTAGCTCTTCAAGGCCTGGCCTCCGGGCACGTACAGCTTCAGCCAGAGGCAAGCAGGGGTGGTCCAGGTGGGGGTCCAGGCGGCACTCACGGCACAGCAGCTGGGAGCAGGGCTGGCACAGGAAGCGCAGGGCCTCCCCCGGGTGCTGGGGACACTGGGCCGCCTGGCGCTCCCGGGCCTCCTCGTCATACCACCCTGCCCTGTAGCCCACCAGGTCCACCACTCGATGGGTGTGAGTCTGCCGGGTGCAGCGGTGTCCGTCGGCACAGGCCTGGCACAAGTCATCAGCACAGTCCAGGCACCGGGCTGTGGCTGGCCCCCCGGCACTCGCACCCCCCATCAGAGGGCACAGTGCACAGGCAGGCTTCCCCGCACGCAGGTCTCCACCTGCCCGGGCCCTCACCAAATCCAGGAGCCCGTTGACAAAGAAGTTGGTCTTGAAGGCAGCCACACCTGCTGGTGGCACGGGCACATTCTCTCGGCACTCAGGGCATCGGAGGTGGCCGCCCTCAGCCAGCTGGGCCAGGCAGTCCTGGCAGTAGGTGTGCAGGCAGGGCAAGGTTTTGGGCACCCGCAGCTGCTCTAGGCAGATTTTGCAGGCCAGGAAGTCGCTGCTCAGGGCCTCCAGCAGGGAGGGTGAGGATCCCTGGGACACCATGCTGCAAATGAGGGGTGAAGGTCAGAGAGCAGAGGGCACTTCCACAGTCCCTCCAGCCTGCCCTCCTGCCTCTCCCATTCTCCTCAAGCCCCATTTGATCCAGAGTCTCACCTGAAGGGCCAGGAATTTTCTTCTGGTCTTCTGGGGCCTCTGGCCACTTGCTTTTGAGCTAGGGAGCTGCCCTCCTCCTTGCATACATTCAGCAAATGTGAAAAGTCGGTGCTGCTTGAGTGTGTCAAGAGATGCAAGAAATGACAAGACCAAGAAGCCCCTGGCCTCAGAGAGCTAATAGTGTAATGATTAGTGCCCTCATGCGACAGGCCTTGTGGCAAATGTGGTCCAAGCCCCTGTGTGAATAGGTCCTGGGGGTCCTGCTGGGGCAGGGGTGTGTTGTGATGGGGATACAACAAAGGATCCAGGTGGGCAGAGTCGTCTTAACTCCTGGCAGTTGGGGCAGTATAGGGGCCCCAATTTCCCCGGCCCGTACACCTGTCTTCTTCTAGACCCCGAGAGCAGCATCTGAGAGCTGCCCTGACTTTCTTGAAATGGGTTCTGGAGCAGGCAGCAGAAAGGCTAAAGGGAAGGGACTGCCCTGCCCTGTCCTTCCAGCTGCTTGAACTTGGGGTCACTATAGCCTTTGCTTCAACTTCTAGAGCCTTTTTCTTGCAGCCTTTCCTGTTGCAAGAGGCCCCTTGCTCTCCTAGAAACCTTTAAGGGTCTGCGTCGTGTGAGGTTCGTCTGTAAATCCCCCCAGCTCCCAACACAGTGGCTATGAAACACTTGATGAAGGGATTTGGGGAATTTTCCTCAAACTTCCGGAAAGTGGGGGCTAGGAGGAGAGCTCAGAGTGGGAGGGAGTCTTTCCCAGCGAAGCCTCAGACTTCCCCATGGGGTGAGGTGGGGGTTGCTCCTGCACAGCCTCCCCTCTCCTCCTGCCTTCCGGGTCTCTCTCTCCACCTCCCCCCTCCCTTCCTCTTCCTCCCGCGCTCTGTCTCCCTTCCCCCACTCCTTCCAGCTCTTCCTTTAGTTGCCCTCCCTGTCCCCCTCCTTACCTGGCCTGAGCTGACCTTGGGCTCCAGGACCGGGAGTGGGGGGCCAAGGCCTGGAAGCCGCTGTTGCCCAGTGCGTGAAAGAGAAACAAAACTGAAACTAATTATACTTGTGCAACTTCCGTCTCAGCTCCGGGACAACGACTTGCACAGCCTCAGGCCCCGCCTTCTTCCCCACCCCAGCCTGGACCTCTTCCTGGGGGGGCCCCCATCCCAGCAGGGAATGGCTTCCTCCAGCAGACTCCAGGGTCGCCTGTCAGTTCTGGCCTCAGGACTTGTTCAGCCAGCTAAGTGTGTTTGTCGCCAATGCAGGGAACTGCCTGAGGATGCAGTTCTGAGATCATCTGTGATTCAGAGCCCAGTCCTCAGGCCAGGTTTCCAGTGCTTGCAGCTTATCTGCGAACCTAGTCCTAGGTGAGGCCTTTTGGTGCCTGTAACCCTTTGCTGAGCTACTGGAGAGGCTGTGGGAATCAGATAAGGGGCCTCCTTCTGAGGTCAGCAAAGGCTTCCAGAAGGAGGCCCCCCTTGAGATGAATTTGAAGCGTGAGCAGGGTTTGGGAGATAGATGGAGAAGAACGCAGGGAAGAGTGTTCTGGGAATCAGGAACGTCAAGTATATAGGCACAGACGAATGAAATGCCACAACTCTCCTAGGTGGCTCCAAGTAACTTAGGATGCTTTGTGGGAAGGGGACATGTGAGTGGTTGCAGACGGGGCTATAGAGAGAGGCAGCATGGACAAATCAAAAAGGGCCTTATGTGCTACATGAAGGAATCTGAGTTTTATCCAAAAAGCCATAAGAAATCACTGAAGGATATTTTCCTCAACATCTTTTGAAATTTGGAAGCACAAAGAAGTTGAAAGAATTGGAAGGAACATTCATACAACTCACCACTTTGATTCTACAGTTAACATTTTACTATAGTCGATTCATCGCATATCTATCCATGTATGCATCTATCCACGGTGATGGGATTGCAGCAGGAAACTGAACTGAGGAGAGCTCACTCTGGCAGCAGCCGAGAGAATAGACAGGAGCCTGACTGCGGGGTCCAGATGAAAAGTAGGAGTTGGGGCTCTGAGCTGACAGTGGCAGGAGGGACAGAGATGGAAACCAGGCACGTGAGCTATTGTTGAAGGCAAAAGAAGCAATGGGACTTGTGATTGGCCCTGGGAAGGAGGTGAAGGAAAGAGGGCAGGATGCCCCTCAGGCTTTAAAGTTTTAGAGGTCAGGAGAAAGGGCTAGGCTGGCATACCCACAGGCTTGTGACTTTTCCATAGTTTTCCATTATATCTGTGATTTTGATGAGATGACTCAACAGTGTCCAAAGTGAGATGTGTCCAGGGCTGAGATGGCACTATGGAGAACACAGACATTTAAGGGTAAGTGGGGGATGGGCTGGGGCAAGAAGGAGGCTGAGAAGTAGTTGCCAGAAGGGTAGGTGGAAATCCAAGAGAGAGAGGTCACAGAAGTCATAGCTGGAGAATGCTGCACTTCCAGAAGGAGAAGGTGGCTACAGACCAGATGTTCAGCCAAGATGAGGACAGAAAAATGTATTGGTGCATGCGTGCCCCTAAGTATATACGCCTGCACATGCGTATGGCCTCTGTGTGTGCTTTTTGTGCACATTCAGTAACAATTTGTTGAATGACTACTGTGGCCAGACAGCATGCCATGCACTGTGGAATATACAAAGATAAACGAGATAGGTTCCCTGCTCACAGGGAGTTTACAATCTAATAGGGGAGGTAAAATATATACATTGTGTTATATGAGACAGTAAGACAAATATCATATTAAAGTGTCAAAATAATCATAACAATGGTTTAATTTTATTGGGCTTTTACCATGAGCGTCACGCGGGTTGTTGTAAATATAACTTGATTTAATCCTCACCATAACCTGGTGAGATAGATATCATTATTGCCTTCATTTTGCAGGTGAGGAAACTGAGTTATAGAGAGAAAAAGTCAGTCATTTGAGGCCAAATACAGTGCTGTGACAACACAGAAGAGGAAGAGTTTGATTTCTCCTGGAATGGTGGTGGCGGTGGTGGTGTGGGAATCAGGAAGTCCTCCTGAAAAAAGAGGCATTGCGATGGCTGTCCTACCCCATCTCCTTTAACATTGAACAAATGCTTAAAGGGTCTACAGTGTGTGGCCAGACCCTAGGATGATAGTTTCTCTACCCTGAGAAAAGGCTCCTAAACCAAGTGATAATTCAACTACAGCTAACTAATAGGTGTTACCATGGAGACGTGTACAAGGAGGAGGAGTGGGGCGGAGATAGTTTCTGGATGCCGGGGGCTCCTCAACATGATTCCAGGGAAGGTGTTTGGTCATATAGGATTGGAATGCACGTGGGTGAAGGGTAGTGGCAGGAAATGGGAGATGGGAGGGCAGAACAAGCTAAAATTTGCTGTTTAGAATGCTATAAGACCTTAAGGTAATGGAGGCCATTATAAGATTTTCATCAGGCAAGTTTGGACTTCTGTTCTGTAGGTACTTGGTGTGGGGTGGGGGGAGACTGTGATCAAAGGTTTTCAATCCTAATTTATAAAAATAATAATGATAATTTAAAATAAAACTTAAAATACTCATATCATCATAGTAACAAAATAACTATTTTTTCCATGTGCATTTCCTTTGTTCTCTGCCCATATGAAATATATTTTACATAATTGCATTTATTGTATACATATACTTTTTGTCTACTTACTAACTTAATGTTATATCAACATTTTCTACGTTTCCACATATTTTCATAGTTATTACTGTCAATGACTGCATAATTATATATCCTAATTTATTTAGTTATTTAGAAATATGCTGGTAAGCTAGCTTCCCCACCTACCAGTTTCCATGATGTAAATAAGGTATAAATATTCCCACCAGGGCTGATTTCATGATTCCAGTGATTTAACAGCCAGTTGCAAAATCACTAAAACTTAACAATGACCTCTCAGGAGCCAGTACTTTTGGGAAGCTTTTAGAATCTTATCTGTCTCCAAAGTTCTGAATTTCACAGAGAACACATAGTGCTGGGCATTCAGTGGGCAACTTCACTCCAGAAACACAGTTTACCTTTGGGAGATTGATGATGATGATCCTCTCCCCTCTGTTTCCTGCTTCTTCTTCTGGAATATCCATCAATCTGATGTTGTATATCTTAAATGATTCCTCTAACTTTATCTTTCTGTTATTGTCCATTTCTTTCTCTTTTTGTACCACTTTCTGGGAGATGTCTTCAACTTAAACTTTCCAACTCTTCTACTGCATTTGTTCAAATCTGCTGTTACGGTTGTAATTCATGAGTTACTTTTTTTTGCACCTTATTTTTACTGCACAGAATCAATATCTTCTCCTAGCTCTCTGAGCATATGAATGATAGTGTTGTGTGGGTGGTTTTAGTTTTCTCCGCCTTGTATAGTTTCTATTACCTCCAAGTTCTTTTCCCTCCTTCCTTTTCTCTCTTTTTTGGTGACTGTGGTATTTATTATTTTTTATTTTAAAATTAGCTTTCTGAAATATAATTTATATGTAATAAAATTACCAATTTAAGTCTATAGATCAATGAGTTATTTATTTATTTTTTTAAATTTTAAATTAAGTTTATTGGGGTAACATTGGTTAATACAATTATATAATTTTCAGGTGTACATTATCATTTGACATCTGTATGTTCTATTGTGTGTTTACCACCCAAAGTCTAGTTTCCTTCAGCTACCATATATTTGAT